ATATCCTGGACCGTAGCGACGTTGTTGGAGCTGCTCGACGTTGGAGGTCTTCCAGATCGAGGGTGCTAGTCTCCAGGTAGCTATCCATGGGTGACTCCATACTAGAAGTTTCGCAGCTGTTTGGAGGTGACATGAATTCCGAAGGTCTTCTCCAGTCAGGTTGCGACTGGAGATGACTTCATATTTTGGTGTACATGAAGGTGATGGGCGAGAGCCAGCTCCTGCTTATAGAGGAACATCTTGGGTATCTTCCGCCCTGGTACTCGTATCCACGTCTCTCTCTGGGCAGCGAAAACTTTGCTGATATGTGACTCGGTCGAAATGTCTTTTTTTGCCCCCCCCCTGTATTATGAGCAGGGTGTTATTTAAACAGAAACAGCACTGAGGAATCGTTCACAAAAAATTTTTTCCGGATCTTGGATCTGATATTATCTGGTCCTTAAATAGTACAGTTTTATTAATCACCTGGTTTTGTATGACGTGCAAAAAAAACCTGAAAGAAATTCCAGAAGTACAAGAGGCGCTAAGCGACGAGTTCGATGGAATTGAGTGCTCGATAGGACCTGGGCCCGATCTGTCACAGTCGCCATTCCGACTTGACCTACCGCATCTTGGACGGCAGGTACCGAATTTTATTTTCACTGTGTTTTGCTGCAACCGTTTAGTTGTCCTTCTCACCAGCCTTTGATTTATTTCTATCTGATTTATTTCTGCGTCTTCTATGTATTTGTTGATACCAGGCTTACATCCGTCGCTCTGCATTGGTTTCGGTTTAATTCTTTTTATTTCGGCCTGTCTTTACTTTAAGGCAGTCGCAGCCAGCTTCTTTTTATTGGTTACAAAAAAAATTTTACCGCATCATTGGTCATTGGTCTTTGTGATCCTTCTGGACAATTTCCAGCTCTTGCTCTCGTGCTTTTACTTCTTTCCTAGCCCTCAAGATCCTACTCCTTCCATTAGGTCATCCCATTTCAAAGGTGCGCGGCTTTTATTAAGAATAAAACGAGAGGCGAACGAGATAAAAGAGTTGACATTTTGGCATCGAATTAAACCAGTCCCTCCTCACAGACTATATGACCGCCCGATCCCAGTGCCCCGAATGCTTTTGGACTCTGGGTCCGTTGCGTTTTTCTCCAACAAGTGCTTGTAAATTTGCTGTTGACTGCCAGATGCGACGTATGACAAAACCTTAGGACGTTGCCGTTGCAAGAAGATACCCCGACTGACTCAGAAACAGTTGGGATCGAACAGTTTTATGTTGGGCGAATGGGGCGATTGAACCCAGGTCTCAGTATTGTTTGTGTCCCAACGCTGCCCTACAATACAGTTACTAGTGGTCTGGCACTATGACGAGCAACGGTGGCCTTCTTGTAGTTGTGTGGTATCATCATTATTCGTGCGATTTATGCGGAGGAACGGCAATATACACTCGAACAGGCTATCGATTTTTTTTCCTGTATAGAGACGAAAGCCACAGTGTGGGAAATCCTTTCGCTATGATGATCATCCACTTGCGCCCACGTAACTCCTCATGGTAGAACTCGGGCGGCTTCTCATCTGCATTCATACAAAATTGACGATTGTGAGTTTTGGCTCGAGGTCCAAGACCACCCATATTTCATCTAGGGCCGGGGTGCGTTTTCACAGTCGTGAATGACATCTCATGCTGAGAACATTACTGCTAGAGGCATAGAATCGGTACTGCGTTCGTGCTTCTACAAGAAAATTGGGTACCCATACGCACACCCTCTTAACATCCTCAAATTATCGGACGTGACTCGGGCAATGGTTGCAGCTGGGATGTCAGTCTCCCGGGAAAGCTCGAAAAGGGTCCAGTCTCTGTGGTCAGATATTCAGCGCTTGACTTCATCCACCCTTTTTTCTTGTGCAGGATGAACATTATGGGACCATCCACGACAACAAATTTTTTCCTTTCTTCCTTCTTCGGGCTCCTGAACCAAATCTTCCACCTTGTATTTCGAGAACACCATTACACACAACTACTGGTCCGGCGCAGGTCAAATTTGAGCAGCGCACTTTCCTCTTATGACGCCTGATTTGAAAATCCGGCGCTGATTTTCACCACTCAGGCTTCTTTTCAATTTCTCGAGAACTTCTTCTGTGGGTAGGTTCGCCAAATTTCACAGATACACAGCTAAAGGTACTAGCCTCCAAATGGTATAGTAGCCCGCTTCCCTATCCCCTTTGCTTTTCTGCCATTCCTCTATATGTCTCGGCACTTTTGAATGGGATGACCTAATATTTTGTTAAAGAGATCTCTGGTCAGTCAGTTGTCACTTGATACAGATTCCTCAATCCTAGATTACATTCGTACCGGATGTTGCACTTCTCGATGGATTCAGTCCGGAAGGTTTGCACAGGATAAATCTTTCAAAGGTATGGAATTTGCCCCTTCAAAGTGTTTTTGACAGTGTTTTTTGATGAACGGCGAGTCTTGTCCTCTCAAAATTTCCAGTAATTTTTAGAGTAGTTCCATATAGCCCTAAGCGAGAAATACTGATCATCACCTCGTTTTTCCTCTGGCGTGACGGATATTGGGGGCTAGATTTGTTCCTTTTTCTTTCCACTAGAATGAGAAATACATGAAAAGCTTCACAGGTTTCATATAGTTCCCACTATTACAATCTGGTGTCTCTCACCTATCCAGAGGTGCTGAACACCATTATATTAGCCACACTTCATACGCTCTTTGATTGTCCCAAGTTTAAGGTCCTTAGGTTTGTCCCAAGGGAGTACCAGGTCCCCACCCCCCCCCCTGCTCCCTTCTGTCATAACGCATTTTTTCGATGAGAACCTAGCTTCAGCTGGAGAATGTAGGCTGCTGTGACTGCAAAGAGGCCTGGTGGCACTGCGCCTGCTTAATGGTGTGTGCGAGATTGCTCAAGCTCAAAAGTTCAGCTGGTCTGGATCGGTTAGTAATCAGAAGCAGCAGTAAGAGTCTAGTGCTTTTGCAGAACATAGCCGCTTCAGACTTCTTTGGCAAGATGAATGAAATTCCTCACAGCTCCCACTGGACCTTCTCAATTGTAAGCAGCCCCTCCCCCTCCCAACTCTACTCATTGATTTTCTAGATATCTCTTGTTCGCCTACACGAATTCCAGTCCCAGTGTCAGAACAGTGAGCAAACAATGTAAGAAAGTCCAACATGTTGTTTTTCAGAAAAGTGCTTTGTTCACAGACGGCCAGCCCAGCTGTTGCTTGGAGTTGATACTTGGGAAAGGCCGCAACTGGCGAGATCCGCTAACGAAGCTATTCAATCGATTGTATCCGAACAAATGGGCCTTTTTTATAGCGGAACTCGAGCAGGTTGTCTTAAACTCTTGCACTGTCACTAAGCTGTCAGCACACATTGAAAATAACGAAAGGACGTTACTTTCGTACGCTTCTTCTTTTTGCTTCTGACACTTGATCACCACTCGCTACATCTATTGAATCGCTCAAGGACACGCTCCACGATTGTATTATGTATTATGGATTTTAGCGCTCAATTTCAGATCTATAGTCGCTGTATAACTGTCCACAGAAGATAAAAACAAAAAAAAAACCATGAGAGACACATACCTACTAAAGACCCTGGGCAGCCTCTCTGAATCTGCCTCCGGACCTGCTCGGCTTGATGGCCCTGCCAAATACTTATTCTGCACCTCTAGCTCACTAATGGTTGTCCGCGTCATTCAATATCAATACAAATCCGCACGACAAACACAAATTCAATACTATACATTCCGCGCACGACAAAATTGGAAAAATGTGGTATAAAAAACTGAACTCTGTCACAGAACAACAGCCTTCGGGATTTCGGTGGGCTTGGGCCAACGTAGGGAGGCGTTAGAGATTCATCTGTGAGGGTGCAGCTGCCTTGCGTTTACTTACTGCTAGGAGCTGCAGATGGGATGAATCTCAGAGACGTGAGGCCGGACACTTGATGGAAGAAGGACGTCTAGGGAATGTTCGAGCGCGGCGAGACTGCGTCTTTGGCGTTGGTGTGCACACTCAAGCGCTGGATTTATTGTGCCTTAAATTCCAGGGGGTAGCGCGGTCGTCTCACACTAATGAAGTGCGCATAGAACTATGATTTTATTTCGAGTTCCAGCTGCGGTTCAGTTGGTGTTACAACGAGAATTGCAACTAGACGCCAGATTATTCCCCAACAAGAGGTGTGGAAAGAGTCGTTTTTCTCGCTAGTAGGGAGTGGGTCAATTCAGACCGTGTCTTTCAAGCGTGCTATTAGGTTGTGTAGAAAGTCCTGCTTCTAAAGCTGAGGCTTTCCAGTTATTGAACGATGATATCAAACAATGGGGCAATAATCATCAATATCTACGGTATGTATCCATCTTCCGATTATTCACCATCACAGATTGGAATAGGGGCTTGCATGTAGACGACAAGGTGCTGTGTAACTAGATAGTTATGGAAAAGGCAGAAAAAAACGTGCCTGGCTGCCTCTAGATAGAACCCCATTTCGGTCCCAGCTTGTACGTGCCCAATGAACTCCATCTCCAACATTGTGCCCCTATCCGCACAACTGATTCCCCGATAAAATACCACTGAACGAGTGACGATGTTCATGCTTTTTCGTCCTGCAGCTTCGTTTTTACAGACGCGCAGGCTTTGAAGGCGGAGTCTGGAGGCGGAGTCACTGGAAAAAAGGAGGCGTCACTGAACCTATATTGCGCTATAGCGCCCCTCCCTTACAATTTTTTGCCGCGAAACCGGTACAAGGTTGTTCGTCGCGGACCACACTACCCTCCCGACGCCATATTTTCAACTTCTATACCTGATCGCGAACCGTGCCTTTGACTCTTCTATAACTAGGACAACTGCAATGAAAAGAAGAGGGGACCTCACTTCCGAGTAGACGTTGAATATTTTTTTGTTTCTTGAATTCTTGTTCTCTAATTGATGAAGTAGGG